TCCGACCTTGAAGATAACAGCAGTTGCAAAACTGCAATATAATCTTCTCCCTATTCCCTGCCCCCTGTCTATGGCAGCAAGCAACAGGCTGGCTGACAAAATCTTTGGTGGTAGAAAGCAAGTCCATGACATCCACAGTCCTACTTCTAACATAGAGAAATGGTTGGGTGTACAGGAAAAAATTAAGAGATTGATATCTGTGGAGTCCTTGGTGCTTTCTGAGCTTGGTTGATTTTTTGCAGACACTTCATTATCAAACTAGGTAACATCTTCAGTGCTAGAAAAGGGATAGGGTTTGCTATCTATCTATATCTAGTAACGTGCTGCCAGTGAAGATGCTGTTTTCTCCTTGGTAGTTTTTTTTTTTTAATTAGGATGTTGTTTATCTGGTCTCCTGATATTAATCTTTGCTTATTTGGGAGTTAATTGCTGGCAAGGAGGTATTCTGGTCTTTTTGTTTCCTTTTTAGCTTCTTCTGTTTATTTCTGTTTATTGTTTTTAGTGTGTAGATGCTGTTATCTCTATGTGCTTGTTGATGGCCAATTTGTCTGAGTGACAGGCTTTAAGGAATTTCCTAGCATTTTTGGATTTATTTAGTTATCAAACTTCTTAACCACCCATCTCCCTCGTAGAGGGGATTTAGCTTGGTCTAGAATGCTCATCATTTCCTAGCTGAAATTACTGTCATATAGTGAAAATACGGATTGCTACTCTTTCCATTCCTGTCACTTATCCTCTCTCACACACACACCCAAGTCAATTCTGCCTAAAGGCAGGGTTGCTCTTGGCTCTTCCAGTTGAACATAGCTTGTCATGGGTGCTTTCAGTTTTTTGACTTGCCCCTAAATTGCTTTCAAAGTTCTGTAATTGATTTATAGCATATGACATGGGGGACAAATCCCTTCTCTTGGATTTGTTTTCAAGTGAATTGTAATTTTTTAAATCTTAGTATAAAAATAATATTAGTAAACAGCCAGTCAAGAGATGATCTTTATAATGCCATAAGTCCAGATGTCCAGATAGAAATTTGACTTGGTTGTATCAGTGCAAATGCTATCCCAGACTGATGATCATTTATTTTATTTCCTGAGGTAATTTCCTGGAATTGGGACAATTGTACAAAACAAAGGAGGGTTGAAATAAAATAGATTTATCACTGTGAATTTGTTCTTTTTATAATAATGAAAAGATGCTTATTGAATGTGTGTGACAAAAGGGATGTAATTTGAGTGTCCAAAGAATGTTCTGGTTCAGTTTCAATCTGGGTTGTGTAAGAATGATAATGGACACACAATTGGAGAGGAGGCAGATAGGTTTATTTGAAAGCATAGAAACAGAACTTGAAGCTACAAAATATAGTACAAAAGATCAGATACTTTTATAGGGAACATGGTCTTTGTGAGAGGATGTAGGGTATGAATAAATATGTGCCTCTGGTGATGTTTAACTTAGTTTGGGTTACTGGTGGGCCACATTAATGATTAAAAGGAGTACAGGAATAAAAGTAATTTTGAATTAAAATTCTTTTTACAATTATTAAAATTCTTCCCAAATGAGAAAGTGTCTCAAACATGACCTTCCCTTGTATTCATTACAAAAATCTTGTGGGGACCATCTGGGATGAGTTTGATCCTGTGACCCCTGAGGGCATGGATAGGATTATGGGGAGACTCAGTGCTGCCACTTGTGTGCTGGACCCGTGTCCCTCTTGGTTAGTCTCGGCTTCCCGGGAGGTGACACGAGGCTGGCTCCAGGCGATTACCAATGCTTCGTTGAGAGAGGGGTTCTTGAAGGAGGCGGTGGTGAGGCCCCTCCTTAAGAAGCCTTCCCTGGACCCAGCTTCTTTAGCCAACTATCGTCTGGTCTCCAACCTTCGCTTTGTAGTGAAGGTTTTTGAAAGTGTGGTAGCACGTCAGCTTTCCCAGTACCTAGATAAAGCTGCCTACCTGGATCCATTTCAGTCAGGTTTCAGGCCCGGATACAGCACGGAGACAGCATTGGTCATGTTGGTCGATGATCTTTGATGGGCCCGGGACAGGGGCTGCTCCTCTATCCTGGTCCTATTAGACCTCTCGGCAGCTTTCGATACGATCAACCATGGTAACCTACTGTG